TTGATGGTGCTCCGCAGCATTCTAGACCAGCTGTCAATGAGTTCTGAACTCACCACGGGCCCCGGCCTGCAAACATTTCTACGTGACTAACTTTACTCACAGGAGTAACCCTCCGTGGGACCATAACTGTGAGTTACGTTACTTGCGTGTGTCAGTATAGGCAGGATTGGGGCCCACGCCGTTCAAGGGAGAAGGTGCCTGGGACTGGGTTTTAGCAGCCTAGCTCTTCCACCCTTCTTTGAGCATCCTGGGTATAACATGTTAGAACCTATACAGGAGATAACGAGGTTGGGAAAACTGATGGGGTCTAGTATTTCATCTTCTTTACATCAGCCTCAAGGTCCAGACAACTACACTAAGAGCCACACAGGTGGGCCCCTGCACTCAGGCTCTAGGTGGGTGTATCGGGGTGGCCATGTGGTTCGCAATACTGGATCAGGGCCTAAGAGTAACCGCAAAAGTCTACTGGCTTTCGAGAAGGAAGGCAAGGCAGTTACGCTAGATGCATGCTACACACCAAACCCACGTGAAAAACCACCACCTATTCCAGGAACACAGAGCAACAAAGTCACCAGGGCTCATACTCCCCAGGGATTCTAAACTACTCCGATATTTATTGGCAAGTAGGAACTGGAAGGGCACAGGATATCCACACAAAAATGACACCAAACAGAACTACACTAGATGAGCGTGCAATTGCAGTAAAGCTCGGTAGGAGTAAAACCGAAGAAAAGCTGCAAAATGAAAGTAAAAATGACCAAACTAAAAGCGCAGAATTAGTGTGAGGTTTTAAAACCTGCATCAGGGACAACAACAAATACTAAAGGGAAATACAGAGCTGCTGCCAAATACAGAGGAAGTTCAATAATAGAGATGGGAAAGGGCGAAATACTCAGAACACATGCACTTTGTTTCATTCTCCAACAAAAAAGAATGAAGGAAGCAGGCGGCACGGCAAGATAAACGTTAATGAGGATCGGGTGAAGTTAATGAGGCAGGTCGGAGATTACTCACTGAACTTGAAGCTCGTGGGCTGCCTAGGTGGAAGTGATCATGATGACCTGGTTACATTTGTTTTGGGCAAACAGAATTAAACCAGACAGCAATATATGTTTGGCACTTGAAAAGGGTCAATTTCCAAAAGCTAAAAATAATGATGGGAAAAACTCATTGGGAGGAAATAATTAGACAGAGACATGTGACTAATGCCTGGGAACAGTCCAGAAGAACATCTTACTTCAGGCCCAAAGGGAACGAGTCCCTCAGCAGCCAAAGGGCTATTTTGATTCAACAGCCCTCTTCATTAGGAGGGGATATGAAAGCAGCAATACAATATAATGAAACAATACATTCATAAATGGAAAAACAGGGAGGCAGCTGGCAGCGAATAGGAATCAGATGTTAAAGGAATGCAGGCGATTTATTTCAGAAGCTAAAAGGTATCAAACTTTCCCATGGCCAACAGGGCCAAGGACAAAAAGACGGAATGTTTTGAAATATATCAGGAACAAAAGGAACCCATTCAAACGTACAGATCCACTCCTAGCTGGAGATGTGGAAAGTGACAACAATGAGAACAAGGCAGAAGCAGTGTTCAATAAATAGTTCTGCTCTGTATTTGGGAAGAAGCTGGATGATGCAGTCTCACCATATAATGATGATGAAATACTTTCCAGTCCAACAGTAGCCAAGGAGGATGTTAAAACCATGTCTGCTAAAGACAACCATTTTTAAAACCAGTTTTTTGCACCCAAGAATTTTAAAGGAGCATTCCAGAGCACTGATGTTAATCTTGGAGAACTGGAGATAAGAACGTTAGTGATTTGCCAATATTTAGAAAGGGCAAATGGTATGAACCAGGTAACCATGGGTATGCTTACATTGCATTTAGACACCGGTGACTGGCCCCTGCCGGCTGACTGGGACTCACGGGGCTGTTTAATTGCAGTGTAGACATTTGGGTTCAGAGGCAGTGCAAGCTCTGGGACCCCCCTCACCTTCCAGGATCATAGAGCCAGGGCTCCAGCCCGAGCCTGAATGTCTATACCGCAATTAAACAGCCCCTTAGCGTGAGCCCTGCCAGCCGCCGGTTTTCAACTGCTGTATAGACATAACCTATAGGCCTGTTTGCCCAGGATCCAATAGCAGGCGAAGTCATGGAATGGCAGCTACAGAATCATCGCCGAAGAGTTGAAAGGATGAAAATATAATTAACTACCTCCAATGTGGGCTCCTGGAAAACGCGGTTCTGTTAAAAGAACGTGTTATTGTTCTCGGAGATGAGTACAAGTGTGGCTGACAGCGGGAATCGTGCTGCGGGAATATCCTGGGACAGCTGACAGCACCACACAACAGCCTCCTTGAAAAGGGCGAACTAGCTAAAAATCGGCGTGACTCAGATGAAAGGGATTTACAAGGGTTAACTGATCAGCCTCAAAACGCAGTTGTTAATGGGGAACTATCAATGTCTAGAGGGGGCCAATTCTCAGCCCAACGCTATTGTGAAGGACTAGGGAGGCGGTATACCTCGCTACACTGTATATTGCGCTAGTGAGACCATTGCTGTATTCTGTGTCTAGATTTGGGGTCCACACTTTAAAACCATGTTGGGAAGGGTTTGGAGAATAGCGACAAAAACGATCGGTGGCCTGGAAAACGTACCTTATCATGACAGATTAAAGGAACTCGAGCTATTGAGTTTATCAAAGAGTCGGTTAAAGGGCGATTTAAAACACAGACTAAATACCCACACAGGGAGTTACTGGTAACAGTCAGCTCATTAATGTAGCACACGAAGGCATAGCAAGAGCCAATGCCGGGAAGTTCAGTCAGCAAAATTCAAACCGGAAATAAAAATGCAACATGTTACCAGCGAGGGCAATTAACCTCTGGAACAGGTTCCCAGGGGAGGGGGTGGGTTCGCCATCATCTGGAGTCTAACACAGGGTTAGTTAGTTGTCTTCCTAAAAGATATGCTCTAGTTCGACCACAAATCATTGGGCTGAAATTCTCTGTCCTGTGTCATACAGGAAAACAGACTAGATGATCCTGGTGCTCCCTTCTGGCCTTAAAACCTATTAAATGTGTAATTTAAATGTACTTAAGTCAGCAGAGCCGGGGTCATTCATTCCAAGGTTCTCAGAGAACCAGAGGAATCCTTACAGCTGACAACTCACAGAAAACAGGTGAGGATCAGAGGAGGATATCATCTACATCAGTGGTTCTCAAACTAGGGCCATCGCTTGTTAAGGGAAAGCCCCTGGCAGGCCAGGCCGGTTTCTTTACCTGCCGCATCCGGAGGTTCGGCCGATCGCGGCTCCCACTGGCCATGGTTCGCCGCTCCAGGCAACGGCGCGGGCTGTGGGATGTGCTGGCCGCCCTTCCCGCAGCCCCCAGTGGCCTGGAGCCGCGATTGGCCGAACCTGCGGACGCGGCAGGTAAACAAACCGGCCCGGCCCGCCAGGGGCTTTCCCTGAACAAGCGGTGGCCCCAGTTTGAGAACCACTGCTCTACACAGAAACTGCATTCCAGCTATTCTGGGTGGGTCTCTGCACACGACAGCACAAAGCCACAGTGCAAGCCTGCGTGTGAAAGGTGTGTTGACACACATACAGAGAGGAATTTGGATTTTAATATTCTTGAACGGCATATTTTTAACCTGTAGGGCCAGACCCTCAGCCTGTGCACATTGGCACACATCTGCTGAAGGCAACGGGAGTATAAAACCAAATCTGAGAACATGAAGTCAATGGACTATGCTGAGTATCTGGCCTGTAGCTTTAAGGGTAGGAGGTCTGAAACGGGCTAACTGCTAGATTTACACATAAGTGTGGAGCCCTTGTGACACTTTAGGTACCCCCCCCCATGGAGTAGGAATGGACCTGCTGCACCATCCCAGGACTTGCCGTAGGAAGCATCACGAATCGGGGTATGTCTACACTGCAGTTAGCCCAAGCCCCAGAAGCCCGCGCCAGCCACAGGGGTCTAAGGGACTGTTTGAGGCTAGAGACCAGGTCGATCTGGAGCCTGGGCTCTGGGACCCTGTGAGGTGGGAGGGTCCCAGAGCCCAGGTTGCAGCCAGAACCTGAACACCTATAGCACAGTTAAACAGCCCCTCGCCCGAGCACCGCGAGCCCGAGTCAGCTGGCACAGGCCAGCCGCGAGGGTCTCACTGCAGTGCTGACGTATCCTCCAACAGAGGCACAGTCCTTTACACAGACCCGTTTCCTACCGCACCCGTTCCAGGGAGGGTGTAAATAACCCTCCTTACGCCTGCGTGCCCAGACCCAAGGTCGGAGTAGCCCATGGAGGGGCTTCTTCCTGCCGTACACAGGCACAGAGAGTTAGTTTGTGACTTCAGCTAAGATAGCATTTCCTTAGCTGCTGGAACAGTGGCATGAATGCTCGAGCCAGGTGAGCCTAGGATGAGCTGATATGCACAAAGTGAGCATGCTCTGAGTGAGCCAAGCCAGGAAGGGAAGAATTGTTAAGTGGAACTATGGAAGAGACCAGAACAAAGACAATTACTTAATTTTGGAGTTCCATGGGCCTTGACCGTGTCCCGTTAACTGTTACGAATCTCCTCCAATCTCTCACTCATAGCACTACATCCTACACACCAGCTTCCCCCAACCGTACATTTCCAGCCAGAAAGACAGTCTTTGTGAAAAAGGAAAACAAGCAAGAAATGGGTGTCTATTAAAAAGCTGAAACAAAGCAGAAAGAGCATGAATGTTTTAATCAGACGCTGGAAAAGAGCAAGTGTATTTTGTTAAAAGTGCGCCAAGCAAAGATTAAAAATCCCTTAACACCCCAGAAGTGCAAAGCCAAATCTAGGAACCGTCACTAGACGCAACACAAGCTGACAATCCGTATTCTACAATTCCGTTGGGTACATTATCCAGCCTTACTCGCGCCACAAAAGCGACTGAATTCTACTGCACCAAAGGAAGCCTTGTTTATAAGTTTTTGTCCATCGTGTTTTACTGAACTGTACTTACTTTAAGGAAAGAGAATAGTCATGCTTGCTTGTTTGACTATTCCTTACAAGGTAGCTACATTCTTTACACAACCGTAACAGGTTTTCTGCATCTGTCCGACTGATTGCGCCATGATACCATCTAGGAAAAAGGAAAAGCAATTAAGACATCAGTAACAAGTATTCAACTCACAGAACATTTAGCTACATAAGTGCTTTAATTTGAATCATTGGTTAACAGCTTAAGGATCACTCCAGTAAAATACATTGGTTACGTTCTAGAAGGCTGTCATTACAATTTGAGAGAGACAGGGGGAGTGAAGTAATATCTTTTATTGGACCAGCTTCTGTTGGTGAAAAGGACAGAGCTCGGTGTCAGCTTGAAAACTGGTCTCTCTCACCAACAGAAGATGTTACCTCACACACCCCATCTCTCCAATGTCCTGGGATCAAGCTGGCCAAAACAACACTGCAAGTTACAATTTAAGATGACGCTTGCACAGGAGTGTCACAGAAGGCTGAAATGTAAATCAGGATGTATATACTAGTAGAGTCTATATGAACCTTCCCATGCAATGTTTGGTAACAATCTGAGGACATTGTTAGAAAACAATGGTATATCTGCCATAATCATATGATAGGAGAGAACTGTGAAAATCTCTGGTCTCCAACCCACACAGGCTTCCTGCCTCCCACAGAAGGGAGTGTATCTGTAATTTAAATAATTGAAATGATCCAATTGTATAAATCTAACTGGGGGATAAAAATGGAACAAAAAGGGAACATCAGGATTGCTATATATGAGAAATGCTATATATGAAATATGAGAAAGCATGAAAGAATAAGAGAAATGAGAAATAGGTGTGTGCCTGTTTCCTTAACAGAACGGCTAAACCAAAGGCACTCTTTCTAAATACACCTGTGAACAATGTAGAATGTTTTTATTTAACCCCCTGGATAAGTCTATTGGGCTAGTTCCTTTAAGGAGAGATGAAGGGGTCAGGCATTCTGAAAGCTCGTCAATTACATCATGAAGGAGGGGAGGGAGAAATTAGCCCTTCCTCATCTGCAAGCATGTCTGCAAATTAAAGGTTGTGGAGGCTTGGTTTCCCTAGGATTTGCCATACAGGATCAGGTTGTACTAGTCCCATAATGCACGAGCTAAGGCATTAGAGGAAAACAGACCTCACACCTTGCGCCAGACACGTGATATGCCTGGTCAGTGGTGCAATGATGTACATGCATGGGGAGAATCTCTTCCTTACTCCTGCAGTGCGCAGCTGACACCCCGATGCAGAAAATTTGACCCACCCCCACCCCACCCTTAGCAAGCATAACCACAAATATTACTGGCCTTGAACGCCATGAATTGCTGCATGCTGTGTGGAAAAGCATTTCCTTTTATTTGTTTTAAATTTACTTGCCCAATAACTTCCTCTGAGAAGGGCGCTGCACTCACTACCACTGAACAAAGGCATTGCCAGAGAGATTCCCTGGAGGACAATCCATTACGCTCCTCAACATCTGTGGGGTAACGTTAGCCCTATGGAAAATCCTGCTCGCGAAATCTGGTGCAAGGCCCTAAACAAAGCTCGGTGCTAGTATTAAATATTCATCACGTCACCCTCTCTTGTTACATCCAGAGTCTCCACCAGAAATGGAATATCTCAACCGATGGAGGGATTAGGACATAGGCTCTTGAGGGTCTTTATTCTGCTCTCTACTAACTGTGAAATGAAGGCACGAGAAGTATTGAGAAATGAGTAAGAAAATTAGCTGACAAGGCTTTTTCCATCAGATATTTACAGGTAGGGGAGATTTCTTAGTAAGAATTTTAGAGGTTATCCTGATAGGGTTCTGAGAACCAAACTGAAAGAAGCGTTATCAAATGGATGAAGTGATCTGAGCACGGAAGAAAACACTAAAATGATCGGATTTCACAAAGCGACAGAACAATAGAATTGGGAAGGGTGATCTGAAAAAATATATCATTGCCATTCGTGCAAAAAAAATTAATAATCCTCAAAAACAAAACATCTAAACCAACAACAGGGAAATGCCCATTAACCTGAGATTGAAAGCAACACACTTCAGCTACACCCATAGGGCTTAATGCATGCCTCCCGGCCCGGGGCAGCTGCATTAGACGTGTGTGAGTGTGCAAGGCAGAGTGTGTGCACAAGTGAGCAATACTTGTGCTACTGCTTCACGTGTGGGTTGCAACACGGAACTTGGGCTTTAAAATGTGATGGGCGAAAACAGCAGCCTGAGAAGACATGGGGTAACGGCTGATGGCGATTACATTTCTGTATCAGAGATAAATATTGCTAACGTGGCTTGGGGAGTCAGTGACTCTTTACTGGTATATAGGAGTGCATTACTTTGCATAGCATAGCCATATAAACTAGACACCCAATACTGCAGCGATTTCCAAAGCCAACTACAGACTTTAGCATGGCAGTGTGTCCTTAAGCAGAGTTAGAATCTCAACAGATAGGTTTATTTTGTTTGCACTGGGGCTGTCTATTGTTCAAATGTCTCTCTCTCTCTCTCTCTCACACACACACACACAGGTCAAGACTCAGCTGCCAACAACATGGCCAACAAGCAGTGAAATAGCCTCAGCAAACATGCTTGCATAAACATGTAAAACAGAAGAAGCTCTAGAGGTCCAGGTCCCATAAGGATGCTAATAAGAGACCCAGCAAAAATGTATGGCAAAACACTAAAAGAGGGGTAGGCAACCTATGGCACGCGTGCCAAAGGCGGCACGCGAGCTGATTTTCAGTGGCACTCACATTACCCGGGTCCTGGCCACCGGTCCAGGGGGCTCTGCATTTTAATTTAATTTTAAATGAAGCTTCTTAAACATTTTAAAAACCTTATTTACTTTACATACAATAGTTTAGTTATATATTATAGATTTATAGAAAGAGACCTTCTAAAAACATTAAAAATGTATTACCAGCACGCGAAACCTTAAATTAGAGTGAATAAATGAAGACTGGGCACACCACTTCTGAACGGTTGCCAACCCCTGCACTAAAAACTTGTACGCATCATTCAAATGTGATCATGTATTTCTACCCAAGTAGGGCCTGTTCCAGCTCCCAGTGAAGTGACTACAGATAGTCCCGTTGATTGCAATGTGCAGTAGATCAGGCCCTTAATGCGGTCTTTTCACTTTGCACAATTGAATCTGCTTGTCTACACGTGGTGTTGTTCCTGATTAACTTAGCTAAATGGCTATTAGCTAAACAGGATCAAGAAACTCTAGTTCTGGAATAACAGCATCCAGCCATGGAGTTAATCGGGGACCACCACCATATGTAGACACGTCCTTAGAGTGAGGGACAAATTCAGCTCTGGTGTAAGCAGCTATAACGCCACTGATGACCAGGTAGTTGCATCACTTTGGGTACGTCTTCACTATCCGCCGGATCGGCGGGTAGTAATCGATCTATCAGGGATCGATTTATCGCGTCTCGTCTAGACACGATAAATCGATCCCCAAACGCGCTCCCCGTCGACTCCGGAACTCCACCAAGGCGAGAGGCGGAAGCGGAGTCAACGGGGGAGCCGCAGCCGTCGATCCCGCGCCGTGAGGATGGGAGGTAAATAGATCTAAGATACGTCAACTTCAGCTACGCTATTCTCATAGCTGAAGTTGCGTATCTTAGATCGATTTCCCCCCCCCAGTGTAGACCAGCCCTTACTCATCCTGTCAGGCCCATGTATTGCAGCTCACCTACTATGCAGCATTACATTACTCACAGTTCTGAGCTGGGCACTGGAGGACTAGAGTAGCTGCAAAGGACCTTATTTACAGGGGCGAGGGGAGGAAGGAAGATCTCATCTCCAGTGAGAGGCAGGAAGTACAGAAGAGACATCGTCATCTTCATGGTCTCATTTTTTGCCTTGTATATGGGGGAAGTGGAGCAGTTCCACTCAACTTCTTCAGGTCTCTGACTTGCCAGGTACATGTGCTTAGAGGTTTGTTTTTCCCTTAACACCAGGCATCTAAAAGTAATTTCCTGATGCTTAGCTGGAGCTGACATTTGTGTCTTGCCAACATACCCTGCACTAATCCACTCACTTTATAATCTGCACACACACACACAAACCCTGTCTCTCTCTGCTTCTCAGCAAAGATTTAGTAGCAGATGCTGCAGAAAGGTGTCATATTACTAAGACTTAATTTAAACCAATCATTTACGCTCATATTTCAAGATGTACTGCAGCATAGTTTGTAAAAATGAACTACCTGCTCACCTATTTTGTGATACGTTACTGTTGCTTTTTAAAAATAATTTGTTCATTTCAGGCTTGACCCTGGAGATGCAGTTATGGGAACTGAGGTTTCTCGACACCTCACAGCTTCAGACCTTTACATTTGCCCATTCACAAAGTCCAGAAAGTTGCAAAGGGTCTCCCAGTTACTGGTGCAAATTAGCAAGGTGCTACTGTATTCCCAAAGTCAGAAGCTGCTCCTTTGCGGGGATTCAATCTTGGATTTCATGTCAAGTTGATGAACCAAGAGTCTGGTGTAAATATCTGAACATCACCCGATGAATTGAAGACAGAAGTACAGCCAGAACTCTGGTTTTTACTTTCTATTTTAACACAGTTGTTGCATTTCAAATTATCCACTAAATCTTGACCTCATTCATGTCCTGTTTTATTCGCCCACCAAATGTTCTGAGTTATACTACCATCCCCACCCTACTAAACTTCGTATTCTTTAAAGAGTCCAAACGACTCAACTGATTCTAATCAAACTTTGTCGTATGAAATTGATGGTAGTTTCTTGGCTAAAACCACTTAAATCCCAGAGTGAGTTTTTATAGCCAACGTTAGTGTCCTGTAAAAGCCAGGTGTATAGTAGAGGTGTTGCCTGACCCTTGACAGTTGCAGTTTCCTAGATTAGAGATTTCTGCATTTTCAATGTGTAGCTGCTTGAAAGCTTTGGGCGATGCCAAAGGGGTAGCATGACTGTGTGGATGAGAATATTGCCCATTGGAGAACTTGAGGTGCAAACCCCACTTGCAGAATGTGCTGCCACTTGGCTAAGCTGTATCTGCAGCAATAGGTCTGGTACCAGATCACATTACCACTTGTAACCACACACGCAGCTCTGCTCAGTCATCCGCTGGGTGACATGGAAGCACAGGAAACCCAAGAGGCACCCCCATAGAGGAGAGAGAGACAGACATATGTTCTGGAGACTCTTCCCAGACTGCCCTAAGAGCAGGTGTGGAGCCAATAAACCCAGAGCTGATTATCACCCTTGTTCTGATGATCTCTCCTTATACTGGTTTTGTAACAGGTCCAGCCAGGTGAACCCAGAAACTGTTCTCACCGATAGGTGGAAGGGAATGAATATCTGAAACAGTATGACTACTTTCTATATAAACAAGATCTTAATTAGAGAGACTTTAAAGCAGGGCTTTGATAGGCTTGAAATATAAGAATAAATGTGATCGACACAGATAAAAATTTAAACACAAAAATGAGCCACTTACAATTCACACAGGTCATGATGATTACAGCTCTTGAGCATCATTCAGACAGACTTCTATTGTTTCCCCCCCGGCACCTATCAGCATAATATTTACACACTGTACAACAATTAGAGAGAACCCTCAGGGTGGTGACATTCTCACACCCTCCCTTGTTCCTTGTGTGCATGCTTAGGGGTTTGTAACAGCATGAGACACCGGGAAGTACAGCGGACAACAAGACCGGAATGTTAACAGGCCTCATTCCCTTCCAGCCGCCTGCCACTCACTCAGGCAGATACAGAGCTGTGCGCACACAGCGTTTTCCATGTGAACTCACATTTGTTTTTCCAGTGGCACAGTTGGATCTACTCTCTCTCCCAGGATCCCACAGAATTCCGGGCTGCCATGCTTGATGGGTTTGAAGCCACCTCCTGGCGCTCGGAGCTGTCGACGCCTGTCACTTGAAGGTGAAGGAGAAGATTGCCTTTTCTCATTCCCGTTAAACTGGGCTGCAAGAGATTTGTAAGAGACAACAGTTACCTTTTCAGAATCTACTGACAAAAGAATTCTATCAATGATGACCAGAACTGCAGCATTTTAGAGGGCTTTATGCTTTAGAATGAGGATAAATATGCATCTCTGACATGGGATTTAGTGGTTTACCCAAGATGCTTAACGTAACATGGAGCCTTTCTGATAGTTCACATTACAGTCCTAAAATACTGCATCAGATAACTTAGTCCAGTTGTTAGACAACCATCAACAGTGCTTGTTTTCAACATCTGACTTGCATCTCCATCACATTTAACTGCTCAGTGTGGAGCAATTTGCATTATACTGAAGAGACTTATTTTCGCTTGTATTAGGGATGTGATTCAAACATAAATCAGGTCAGAGAAGATGCAAGAACCCAGTTCCTCTGAAGGTATATGGAATTGCTTGGACAATGATCCAGGCGAAAACACAGACAGTACATAGTTACATGAATACTTCAAATGCACTGACTGATGAGCAATAATTTAAAAATGCAGCCAGGCAGTGTTTGGCAAGACCAGGGGTTCGGGACCCCTCAAGGGGTCGCGAGGTTATTACATGGGGGGTCGCGAGCTGTCAGCCTCCACCCCAAACCCCGCTTTGCCTCCAGCATTTATAATGGTGTTAAATATATAAAAAGGTGTTTTTAATTTATAAGGGGGGGGGGTCACACTCAGAGACTTGCTGTGTGAAAGGGGTCACCAGTACAAAAGTTTGAGAATCACTGGGCAAGACGCTTGTGTCTTGAAATAATGGGGTAAAATGAGTGACAAAATCAAAAACGTTATTCGCCAGTCTCTCACGTGGTGGTCCCACCAAAGCAGAGTGTCAGTTCTGGAAGCCTGTGATTTCTTATGGCATTGCAACATCAGTAACAGAAAACACACTGAAATAAGTGCTCATAAAAACTATACTTAAGAGTTTTAGGGACCATCACAGTGTCATTATTTTTATCCAACCCCACGTATTGATAGCTGTGGTCCTCCAAGGAAGAAGGCACAGATGTGGTCACAGAGGTTTTAATATCTACATTCCCTGCTCTAAGTTCCTGGGTCATCTTCCCCATAAAAAATGGGAGTGCTGACTCTGCTGCTCCAGAGAGATTTCTCAAACAGCAGCAGCAGCATGAAGCTGTCATGTTTCACTGCCGCCGACAGCTTTCTGAATAGCAGCTGCAAAACTGTCCAGTCTTGACAGGCACATGCTGCTGTTGCCGGACAACAGGTTGAGCAGCAGCAGAGGCACTGGAGCTGCCTGGCTGCAGATTCAGGATGGCCGCACCGCACTGGTTTACATTCAGCTCACATTTTTGATTTTCTCCTGGCAACAAAATGGGTTAAAAAGCTTAATTAAAAAGCACACCTCACGTGCAATAGAAATTGATGTCAGAGCCCCATGTTTGCCAGAGAGCTGCCCGCTCACCTCTGGAAGAGGATTTTTCTCTCTCTGCTGAAGATCATGAATTATTGATTCTCAGCAGATCTGTGGACCCAGTGCAACACAAACCAGTCTTTCCAAGGGTTTGGAATAGGGCAACGATCGTAAATTAAGATCAGTGGTTACCTGCTGAGAATTTCGACAGCAACCATAGGGAAACAGTCATATCAAGAATGTTCCTGGACATGCTTGGTCGCTGCCAGATGCTAAAAACCCACCTAGTGCTCCAGGGCAATGGTATTACCATGGCATAAGTTTGCAGTGACTAACATGGAGAGTTTGGAATGGTTTGTACACACCCTGCAGCTTTGCATCCATGACACTTTGTTAAAGCCAGCCTGGATGACCAGCTGAGTCACCATTTAATTGACAGGACAGGAATCAGCATGACCCAGCACAGCCAGAATTCAGCTTACTAGGATACATAGCATGCCAGACGTATATTTGGTACGAATCACAATTGCTGATCTGATCCAAACTATTTACATATTACATGCTCAGGGGCGCTAGCCAAAGTGTCCTAGGCGTTATGCAAATCTCAAAAGATTGCACTTAACGAAACAATGAATGTGGGAAAAGGGAAACAACATTTTTTTTTTTTACTTAATTTGCAATTTTAAAAGGTTTATCTTATCAGTTGTAAGATCAATTCCCAAGTGGCTCTCTACCTCGGCATTATAAATTAGGGGCAGAAGTGGGTCAAACATATTCATACATAACCTATTTCCTTCTCGCACTGGCAAATTTAGCGTAGTTACTGCAGAATGAGTTACTCTCCAAAAGAAGATGAAATAGCGTGTGCCACAGACAGCCAACACATAATCAGTTATTATTTCCACTGGGAAAGAAACAAACACACTAAGCTGCTGTAAAATGGACATCATCTCTCTACTGGGACTCTGTGAATGATAATGAACAAGTTTTATGCCTCCAGCCAACGAGAAATATCCTTAAAATAAATATTTTATTTATCCTAGCCAAAAAGAGAGACAACCTACCACTAAACAGTAATATTGTTATAGCAATACGGTATTTAAAATCAGTGTCTATATACATTCCTTGTGCAAAAATCTCCTGTTTAAATTCCAGAGGTACTTGCATATTCTGTTTCTGGCTGGTGGCCTTAGGCATCTGATTCGGGCACCTGGCCAACGTGTGTCTGTGTGTGTGGAGGCAGTACAAGCTTCCGAGCTACAGCTGGTTGAAAGTCTGAATTTCTGTTCTGCAGGAAATTCGGAGGGGGGTGGGAGGGAGAGCCTTCCATTTTGGAACAAAAAGTAGAAATTTCAAAAAGGTTGCCACAGAAGGGAAGTCTGAAAAAAGTAAGTTCCTGGAGACAACTGCAGCATTTCTGGGGCGTGACAGCACTTTGCAGTGTTCTAGCAATCCAGCCAGTCCTGCGATGCTATACGGGTGAGGGTACGCGGCGAGAACATGGAAGTAACGGCTCAGGCCAAAGGTAACCGTTTCGAGAATGAGATAATTGGTATTAATAGGAATGGATGCGTTATTAATACGTAAGAATATTCTAACCTATAGAGTAAGTGTAACCCAACGATTTATCTGGATGAGGAAAAAAAGATTTGTGCATGGAAGTTTGGGCACTGATATGAATACTCAGTATAGTGCCAGGAGCCTATAAGAGGGCAAATCACCATGCGGAGAGGATTCTTTTTCCTTTTCTTTACCCTTAAGGCCTCTCTTGTTTTGGCTATCGGCTTAGCTTTTGCAATACAGTTTAACGACTAAACACCCGATCCTGATCTCCACCATCTCAAGAGTGGAGGATCCTGGACCATCGCACTCATTGGGCTGGTACTTTGTCTCCCACGACCAGGCCCCAAGGAAGGGTGTGAGTATACTAGTTTAAGTGGCTTTGTAAAGGGATGATCATAGAATATCAGGGTTGGAAGGGACCTCAGGAGGTTATCTAGTCCAACCCCCTGCTCAAAGCAGGACCAATCCCCAGACAGATTTCCCTAAATGGCCCCCTCAAGGATTGAACTCACAACCCTGAGTTTAGCAGGCCAATGCTCAAACCACTGAGCTATTCCACCGACCCACCCACAAGGGTCTATAGTACTGTACTACTTCTTCGTGGCTCTGTGGTTTGGGGTGTTAACTCTTTCCTTTATTTTCATAAAAATCTCGAAAGCCTGGCTTTGTCCTCAGTGTGAATGTCCTTGCCATACACCCCGAGGGTCCAGACAAATGATTGAACGCTTTACATTCTCTCATTCTGTAGCCTGTTTGGGGACAAAAACCTAAGTATCTTCTGGTCAGATCACTGGCGAGCCTATAATAAATCAGCCCTATAAAAATCAGGTTAACGATGGCTTGTTAGGCTTCTCGGCTCCTCGCTTTCTGCTAAGGCTGATGGGGCGCAGGACCAGTGACTGAGCCAGGAGCCTCGGAGCTTGGACTCAAGTTCATTTTAAATGTTAGAAGTGAAACATTTTGATTATTTCAAAATATTTCCTCCCTCGTCTCTGCTGGGGTAGAGAACGAGAGGAGGCTGGGTGGTTTTGCTTCCTAGTAGCTCTTTCTCCCCTCTCCTTCACCAATAGAAGGGAGAGGACAGAGGTCAGTTTAAAGTGAGCTGCCTGGGAAGACAAGTTGAGCTTGAAACCTTTTTGCAGTTTTATGGAGTATCGGGCTAGTAAACCAAACATTTCCTTTAACACACACCTGGCTCCGTTTTCAAATTTCAAAATGTTGACGACGTTTTGAACGTTTCAGCCCGTCCTGTTGCTGACACTTTTACGATGAGAAAACTCACCTGAGCGTTCTTTGTGCTGCATAGAGCAGCAATAAAAGGGCAGAAATAGATTTTTAAAAAATAATTTGCAAGTCACTGTTCCAGGCTAGTTGCACCTGTTGCCTCTCTGGTTTGTCTGAGCACACCCTCAGGTATTGGGGCTCACGCTTTCCCCTCTCCTGTAGATGGGGACGGGGGGAGGGTTGCAATTCTCCACTCTGGTCGAGGCTACAGTGCCCTGCAGGTCAACTATGCTTATCCGGCAGGTCCAACTGGCTTCTGAACCTATGGTTCTTCCCTGTGGGAGGGAGTCTGTGACCAGCTGTGAATAGAGTGACCAGCCAGCTGCCTTAAACCAACATATTGCTTATTCAGCAGTAGAAGCAAAGCATTAGCGGGAAGGATTTTAAACCACATGCAGCCTGCATATGTGTCCATCTGACCAGGCCCTGATGGTAGCCTACACAGGCTTAGCTTCCCTCAGACCCCAGCAGGAGCCTGCTTTCCCTGAACAGCTACCTAACGACCTTTGGGAGGGAAGGAGAGAGAGATCCTCACAGCCTAGATCGAGTTCCTTTGTTCTGCTCAGGTCCCAGGCATTGGGCCCTGATTGTTCACACCAGCTCCCCGGACTCAGCAGCAGGTCCAGCCAGACTCCTCAGAGGCAACGGTCCCTCGGACGTTTGCTATGGGGTGGTTCATTCAGTGTCAGTTTCCTTTCTGCTTGCTTTTCCTGACAGCCCCCTATTAAACTAACCCAATACGTTCAGACCGACAACA